TTGATCAAAAAGTTCCCGGAATTCATTCAGAAAATTCAAAATACAAGTTTTATTCATCAAAAGTGATATTGTCCCCTTCAAAGTCTCTTCAAACTCTCCATCGACTGCAATGCACTTATGCCAGCACTTGATCCAGCTCTCGAAACATTTCTGGAACTCTATTGTCGGTATAGCCATCAGAGCCATCTTCGATTTTTCCATTACCTCCTTTCGGCTGTTAAAACGCGTTCCTCATAATAATTTTTTCATGCCACTCATAAACTGTTTTCTTTAGAGTATCACTGCCGAAACAGTTTCCCAACATTTTCACACCAATGAGTCCAAGATTTTCATACCATTGAATCCATTTTTAACATAAAATTTAATACAAACTCGTTGTTGCAAATTCAACTCCATTTTTAAAACTGTAAAAAATCGAAAATACGTGCAGAGGTAGATGTACTCAAGACGGCGTAACTTTTACAAATGTCAAGCTATGGTAATAAAATTTGGTGGGAATGTCAATGATAGATGTGGCAACCTAATCAAAAAAACAGAACTCAAATCAGCTGACTCAAAGCATCACCTGGTGGTAATTCCGGGAACTTTTTGATCAAAATAGTATTAATATTCTTATAAGAAGCTTATTAGCATCAGCATTGTTAAATTTCTTATCTTATTTAATTTAGAATATTATTGGTTTTGTTCATGATTACAAGACTGAAAAACATTTCAGCACATGGTTGCAAAATTGAATATATATAAATTTATACTAAAATATTAAAGCATTAAGATCCACCAGACCGAAAATAAGGATTTCTTTTAATTAAAATTATCTGATACTTGAGAATATATTTAATAATGCAATATATATAATTTAATTTTTGTTAAAAATTATTGTTTATTTCCTTGTTAATCAAACTTATTACTTTTCGGGTCGATCAGTTTGGCTTCTGAGAAACTCATTCGCGTTTTTTGATGGAAAATTAACTTGTTAGACAGTTACATCAGTTTCTACTCTCACATAACGCTTATCACATCGCGCAATCTTGAGCGTTTTCTCGATTATACGAATGATGGCCCTGGTTACGCACCGTTTATAACTGAATCAAATGGATATTTTTCGGAACAAGTTCCGGATGAGATGACAGAAGGAAAAATAGCCGATGTGCAATTAATTTAATGTAATTAGAAACAGAACGAGAATCGTCGCCAGTATTCTCGATGATTCTTCCGATTCATAAGAGAAAATTAATTCCGTTAGTCTGTCTTATTTTGTCGATTTTATCTTGTTACATAAACAAGAAATCATTTATGCATTTATATATCGATCGAAGCAGAACATAATTACCAAGGCTGATAAGAAAAATATGCGACATCATTATTACTTTTTTCTCGAAAACCGACTAATACAATAAAACGATCACGTGTGGTTAACGAATGACATATTAAAAGTTATATTTATACTCATTTGTACAAGAATAAAATAATTAAAAAAATTGTTTCATCAAAAATGACAATTTTTTTAACTATTTTGTTGTTATGCATCAAATAAGTGATATAAATGCAACAAAGAATAACAAAAATAAAAAGGAAAAAGAAAAAATTTGCTTTAGAAGTACTTACTTTATTCTATAATCAAATTACATCAAAATTGTGTTTTAAAATTGAAATTACAAAATGTATGTAATATAATTTCAAAATTTCAAAATTTAAATTTAAAACATTTAAATTTATTTATTTTCTGAAAAACTTCTATTTTTTTATTTTTAACAAATAAGTGATTTGTATTAAATATAGATGTAATAAAAATAGATTGCATTTTTCTATTAAATTGTTACTTCGGTTTAGAAAGATTGAAGTAATTTGAAATATATCATCCTCTTTCTTTTTAAAAGTATCGAGTTCAAGAAAGACATCAATATGTTTAATTCTTTCTAATGGAATATAGAAACTAAGTTTTAAAAAAGTGCAGTCTAGATTTATTATATATATACAATATTAAATAATAAAATTTGAATGGAACACATGGTATTCGCTTATATACCTTTCAAAGAAAGAACCTCATAAGAAGTGGCTCGTTGGTCTAGGGGTATGATTCTCGCTTAGGGTGCGAGAGGTCCCGGGTTCAAATCCCGGACGAGCCCGTTTTTTTTAATCTTTTTTTTTCCTTTCACTTGCATATAGATTACTATTCAAAATTCCATTTAAGATATCTACAATTTTTTATTTTTTATTTATATGAGATTTCAGATATTGAATATTTTTAGAGCCACGTACTTCCTATCACGTGTAAATATAGTAGCTGCGCTCAGCAGAAAAAACAGTTTTGTAATTGCTGTAAGATCTTTAATATAATTAGTTATACATTTAGATCTAATGAGGAACTAAGAATAAAGATTCATCATATTAATATTTAGTATACATAATAATTTTTTAATTGTTCATGTTCTTAATTTTACAAGTATACAAAAATTATTAAATAACTTACATATACTTTAACATGTTTAGAAAATATTTATAAGGTTGTGTATTTAAAAAATTGTATATAGACGTTATAATTAATTAATTGAGGCTCCTAGTATTTCAAAGAAAACAAATGAGCAGGATACGAATAATCCAATTGTATATTAACAATAAGAAATAAAGAATCTTATAATAGCAAAATTAATAATAATAATAGTTGCAAAACTACTTTTTTTTGCTGAACGCAACTAGTGAAAGATTAATCGGTTTATTTACATAGTGTCCGTTTGCCGGCATTCTCGATGAATTCGTCATTGTCAATTAAGCCGCCGGGCAAAATTATCCGACTAGCAGGTTATCGTAATCTTTTGTCGACGTGACGATCGTACAAATTTGATAAACCCTCTGGTATTTTGCACGTCGTGATTTTACAAACACGATTCAGAAAGTCTTCAGCAAGGCATCAAGAAAAAAATCGTCTTAAATACTTCGAATTTCGAAATTAGATCGCGCGAATAAGAGCAAGGTGAAGACACGAAAATACGTTCATCATTGTTTCTTTTTTTTCACCGTCTGAGCGATATTCTGCATTTACTCGAAAAAATGTCCGCTTTATATTTAGAGATGTTTGTTCACGAACGTCGTTGTTATCAGTACCGGGAATCAACATTTCAGTTGCGTGAATCTATATTTAATCATAATATGATAACAATTCGCAATCTGCATCGTTGGCATCTTTTCGAAGCGGGCGTGAGTCTATTATTTTATTCGCACTGGATCTGAACTCTATAATCTATAATTTCTCCTTAACGATAGGGATGATTACATTTTCACAATTATTATATTTAAAAAATTTTGATAAGGAATCGTTTTGTCTAATTTGATTTGGTTTTTCATTGTTCTTTTACTTTAAGTTATTTTAGTATGTAAAATTACTCTTCTTAATTATATATGCATATTTTTTAGTTAAATTCGGAATTAATGAAGACTCTCTCTGTGTTAGTCAAAATGTATTATGTATAATATCTTATTAGATTTTATTAAATATATATTTTAATTATTTTTAATATCCAAAATTTGCAAAACATCTCACGCCTATTTTCGCTTATTTTCGCGAAGCATTCTGCGACTTTTCGTTATCGCGAGATATTCTTTGCCATTCTTTTCATTCTTATGTGATGATATCGTCTTCCCGAGATAGCTCATCGCATTTTTTCGCGGAAAACGCGGGCGCGGGTGGCCTTTCAGCGTCCGAATCATAAAGTTTATTCTCTCCGGTATAATTGCCGAGTTTTTGTACGCGTCTCAATAATGATGAATCCTGTCGGAAGTGCGCGGTTTTGGGAGATCCGGTCGACAAAATAAAACCGATATAAATTTCAGCACTTTCATGTTACTGGCCAATCTCAAATTCACGCTTCAAATCAGCCAAAAATCAAGATAAATCTTTTTCTCAAAAATTGGTCTGGAATGTAATTTCGAGGTTTCTTGTCGTCGATATCCTGCATCTATATTTATCAATAGAGAGAGAGAGAGAGAGAGAGAGAGAGAGAGAGAGAGACTCATACAAGAAATGACCGTCAATTAAATATCCAATTGATATCGAATTCATCGTATCGATGTCGATTCGACATTAATTCAATGAATCATTTCTCACTGGGAATTGACACATCGTACATATCCTTCTCTTTGTTCTCAAAACTTATAAATCAGAAAAGAAGAATTTCAGAATTTTCTGTGCTATTTGATAATAATATCTAGATTTTTTGATACATTATATGTATATCGTCTACTAAATTGGATGTCCATATGATGTTGAATTGTTCCATGGATAGACGACCTTCTATCTCAGATCAAGTGCACTCACCGAGTGAGTATCAATCGCGGATCCTTGACTATTAATTAGATATACAGGCGCTCCTAAAAGTGGGATTAACCAGCATGAGCCAATAGACGCTATCAGCGTCTTCAGTCTACAGAAGTGCTCGATAGCGATGCTGGAGGGTCGCCTGATTCTAGAAATAGGCTCGAAATATAGCTTTAACTATAGGACTGGTACTTTGAGAAGCTTAAGCCCGATTATACCAACGTTATTTTGATTTTAAGCGAGACTTAAAACTCTTTTTCTCTTTTTTAAGACTTAAAAAAAAAGATGTAAATAACAATCTAATAAAATAAAAAGAATTAAAATGAAAAGAAATGAAAAGAAAAATAGAGAGAGAGAGAGAGAGAGAGAGAGAGAGAGAGAGAAGAAAGAAAAAGGGATAATTTTAAACCCTGCTTAAGATCAAAATAAACTGTTGGTGCAATCAGACCTTAGTCAACCAATCTCTGGCGCGGCTCCTCGAAAATTTTACGGCATCTCTGAGATAAACGCCAACCGCTTAGTTAAAATTTCATGGCAATCATCGCTGGCTCGTCGTGCTGGAAAATACCAGGAAATACCACTTTCGTCCTTCGCCGATATCTACCGCGCGGTTTTCCGAGCGCAATTTCTTCCACTCGCGATTTGCGGCTCGCATACCGTGGGTTTGCCTTGCCGTCTTCGACGGCCGTCGTCATTCCACGCCTTCGTCATCCTGGCGAGGAACGACGGAAGAAGATGCCGCGCGACAAGGAGATCCGGTGGGTGGTAGACCATGCTGATCGTGTCTCACACATGTCGCTCGACCGTGCCGCTACTCTCCGCTTCTTCGCGTAGCGGTTCGAACCGAATTGTGATACCGAGACTTAGTTTAGCTTGCGTTTACCTCTCGTCTCCGCGGATCAGTTAGGCTCGCGCTTTCGAGCCGCCAGCACCGGCTGTGTTCTCTTTCTCTCTTTCCCGTGGTCTTCCTCGATCGCGAGGTGATCCCACGTCTCGATCAACCGAGTCCTTCCCGTTGAATATTATTATTATTTTTTAATTTTTTTTTCTTTCTTTCTTTCTTCTTCCTCCACTCGTCACAATCGCCGCAATCGTTCTCGGCCGCACAAGGCACATGCGAACCGACAGTCGCCGAAGAAGATAGTCCTCGATTTGGACCAGACTGAATCTCGCCATTCTCGAGTAAGTGGTGTAAGATTGTTGAACGGTGCTGTAAAAGGCACAATGATTGATTTTCTTTTTCACTGATTTTTCCCGAGAGTGAACGCCATCCTGACAAGTGAGAGATCGTTTAAATTTGTCGAAGTGTAAATAGCTTGTGTCAATTACAAGTCCTTCGAGTTTCACGCAGAAACTGAAATCATTAAGTTGCAAATTATTACGATAATGAATGGTGAAAATTTAATACAAATAATTATAATTTTTCTCTGAAGATTTTTAATATGAAAGATTGAATATTTAAAACCGCAATTTCTGAATCTCGATGTCTGAAATTAAATTTACTACTACGCACACACACGTGATTAATGAATTGTTCTTATCAGACAAATTGGTGATAACTGAGTTTCAAGATGTAATGCTAATTGCATTCGTCTCTCACTTTCATTCACGGTTGCCAGTTTTATCTCTCTGTCACGACTAATGAATAGAGATCCGAATTTGAATATCTTATCAAATTGCTATCAGTCGCTGATGCCATTCGTCAATACGTTGTGAAAGGAATGCGAATAAACGCTTTACTTGTTCCCCATCTTTTTTCTCAAACATTCTAATGATAAAAACAAAAGATTTATCGCGTACATGTGCATTTAACCTATTTTAATCAAAACGATTACTAGGAAAGTATAAAATTTTATTTTTCGCTATGAATGAATAAAAAAAATCGCTTAATAAAATAAAATTTTGCTTATAATAAATTTTTGTTAACAAATTTTTATCTTGGTATAAGTTCTTGTTATGTTATTCACATTATCTAAAAATATCAGGAATAAACTATACAATTATTAGGTGTAGGAAAAAGTTCGTGGCATTTTTTAAATGCTATCTAACGGGAAAAACGCCACGAACTTTTTCCCACATCTAATATAACATTCACTTTAAAAATTCGAATTTCAGAACTTAATAAATAAACAATATTAAATCTTTGTTAAATTATTGAATAGAATTTGAGGAATAGAATTTTTTAATGCTAACGGTTAGATTTTAATCCGTACTAATACAAATCTTAAAATCACATTTAGACAATCGTTTCATTCGATTAAATGATTCGCGATGCATTCTTTCAGTTTAATGTAAAAAAAAGAAAATTAAAAATTAGTCGTTCTTAGAATCGTTTGATGTTAACGATGAAGTCAGCGACGAGAAAAAAATGCGGGGTACATGCATACGACGGGAATTATCCGCTGACGAACTTTGACAAGTGTGAACGCGCAAGTTTGATATCCCGATGTCGCGACCTGCACGATCGGAATAGCAGCAGTTACTTAAATAGCGATCTGTCAGTTGTTATCGGTCTAATCCGCAAATTATATCAATGTACAAATCCAGAGAAGGCGACACTTCAATCTATCGTGATCAGAACTTACGCGAGGTCAATAAATAGAAATCGAATAGATTCTTGTTTATCTTTTACATTGATTTTTGCTACAATAAGATCTATTAAAATCAAGATTTTTTTCTCAACTGCGTCTCTCTTTTTTTTTTATAACGATTCATTCGATATTAATATTATCTCTATGAGTCTAAGAAGAATCTCATCAAGTCGCATTCTTAGCAATTTATATCGCGACGAGTTTGTAATTCTATGCAACCAGTATCTCACAGCGATTAAGTCGAAAAGAGCGAGCGTGTGCGCTTCGTGCGATAAGTACGAAAAAAACAGAGAAAAAAAAGAATAAAATGAAATGAAGAAAAAATAGAATCAAAGTTTTATTTGCTGAAATTCATACACTGAAAAAATAGAAAAAATTTTGGCGTTTGTGATTGTAAGGTTAGTGTGGAGGGTTACTAGGTGAGTGTTGGTGTTAATATGATCATAATATTATGATCATTACTGTTATAATATTAGTAATAATAACTATAATTTTATCAACAAATATATAGAGGTAA